AGGAGCTCAGGGCTTTTCCTGGGATTGTAAAATCCCTGACCTGCAGCAGTGCTGGGATTAAAGGGGTCGGTGTTCCCAGTCCAGCTCCACACAGCGATATTTGTGTCACCTCCTGTCACCCTGTGGGGAAGCTGCTGCTGCTCTGCCAATTCCCAGAGAAATCTGGGATATTCTGATGTGGGTATAATCCTCAGAGGATGAGAGGCTTCTGGTGACATCCCCCTCCCACAGATCCTAATCCCTGGAGCTGAAATTCCTTGACACGGTGTGTGAGGGTGAATAAGTCGTGAAGTTCCCTCCACAGAGCCCGGTCACAGATCACAGCAACTCCCCAAAATTAATAGAAAAAAGAGAATTTCCGTGTTTTCAAGCTGCAGTTTGCATGATCCAGCTGCAATTGGATGTGGCTTTGGGAGATATTTCTCCTAGAACCCAACTGGCAGCGATGCCTGGATCAACCGCTACGAAAAATGTTGTGAAGTTTAAGGAAATTTAAAATAATAGTTGATAATAAAAATGTTTAGAACAAGCTTTAATTTAAATTTATCCCCATTTTAATTTATTCTTATTATTTATATATTATAAATCATTATTTTGTTTTTATTAAGGTCCATATCCCATGGCAGAGGGTGTGTATCCCATGCCATGGGATCTCCAGGGGGCTGCAGGCAGGACTGAGTTCCATTTCCTTGCCAGTTCGGGCATGAACACAGCAGGGATTAAGCCTGCAGATAATTCTGCTTTTCTTAACCTGCAGTCTAGGCATTATTTTCCATAGGTGAGTTTTTAAGGATTTCTGGAAGAGTGATTGTGAGAGTGGGATTGAAATCATGAGTGGAAAATTGTGGGAATTCCAAGCATAACCTGTTGTTTCCTTATCTCTGTGGTGAATGGTGTAAACAACAGCAAGGAGATGTTTTCATCAGCTTCATCCAAACCACCCCAAACAACTGATTAGGCGGAATCTTTGTCTTCAAGAGACTGTATTTGCATATATTTACATGAATTTACAGGTTTTTATATGCATTTACATCTGCAAGCGAAATATTAAAAAATATATTTACTGCAGTATCTCACAGTGCAGGGAAAAAAAAAAGGGGGTTGTTCTCAGCTTTCAAATACAAAAAAAGGATCAGTGATTCATCAGAAAATGCTTCCCAGTTGTTCAAATAAGGAAAAACATTAGCAAAATACAGCCTAAATAAAAGAAGAAAACTACGTCTTTCTGCAGTGCAATTGAAATTTCCCATTTTAGAAGGTTTGGCTTCATTGCCTCAGTACCTGCTCTTTTGTGATATTAAAAACTCTGCATCACTCTGATATGAAAAAGCACAGATGGCACAAGAATTTCTGCTGTAATATATCAGTAAGAAAGGCAGCCCTGTAAACCATTTCTGGGGTGTTGGTTTTTTTTTTTCATGTGTAAAACATAAAAACATAAAAATTAAGCCTTGGTAGAGGGATAATGAAAGGACTCCTCGGGGTAGATTTGGCTCCTGCAATTTGTTTGGGGTTTCCACCACCCAAATGGTGTCTCTGAGGACCAGAGTTATGGCTGTTCCATCCCTGGAAGTGTCCAAGGCCAGATTGGAGAGGGATTGGAGCAACCTGGTGTGGTGGAAGGTGTCCCTGCACCTCCAGAGCAGATGAAAAAGTGAATTTGTTAAGGGTTGTCTGGTTAAAAGAAACGAAAAACCCTGGGGTTTGGGAATAAAAGGGGCTTGGGAATCCCTTCCTGGGTGTTGAACTGTTATAAATCTTCAGAAATACGGGGGTCAAAATTGCAAAGCAAAGATCAGGATGAAAGAAAACTTCCAGAGGACGCTGTTGGAGCTGCTGTGACCACGGGCACAGCTCCCAAAGCAAGATGCCCAGAAGTGGGATGATAAACCCCCAGTAGTGTTGGGTTTATTCATGGTGACAGAAATCTGAGCTGTAGGAATGACTTTACCACTATTTTGGGCCCAGGGAGTGATAACAAAACCTCTTTGGTGCTGGAGAATCCTGCATCTTTCCTGCTCATTTTCAATGGAGTAGTTTTAGGGCAATTTTGCCAGAAATGTCAAAATTTATCCTGTATAATAGGAAAAAAATAGAATCATATCATAGAATCCCAGACTGGTTTAGGTTGGAAGGGACCTTAAAGCTCATCTTGTTCCATGGGCAGGGACACCTCCCCCTACCCCAGGTTGCTCCAAGCCCCATCCAACCTGGCCTTGGACACTTCCAGGGATGGGGCAGCCACAGCTTCTCTGGGAAAATAGTGAAGAGGTTGTAAAATTGCCTTAGATACAATCAAGACAAATTGTTTATTATTAAACTCTCCTGTATAAAATTAATCTCATAAAACTGATGCTTCTGCCAAGAGCCTGGGGCGGTTCCTTTCCCGTGGAATTCCTGTGGCATTTCACCACATCCCAGGAATTCCAAAGAGAAAAGGCTTGGACAGCAGGTACCTGACAAAGTCCAAACCTCTCTGTGTGGGGAGAAACAGCTTTTCCTGGCAGAGTTAGGACAAAGCTCTTCCTTCTGCTGCTCTGGTGACCTTCATTCCTAGAGCAAAGATGAGGGAAAAGTGAGATCTCCCAGCACTGCCTCCAACATGGAGCTGGATCTCCAGCCAGGAAAGCTGGAAAGACTCCAACCACTCACACCAGATGTGGCTGCCTATTTTTTCCTTTGATGTAAAGAGGCTGAACTTGACTTGCAGCAGGGGAAACACATGGGCAGTGTTTGTTCTGATTCCAGGGAGGTTTTTAGGAGAGTGTCTTGGGCATTGCTAGAAGTGGGCATTGACTAGTAATTTTCCTAAAATCCACCTTGAACCTCCCAAGGTGCAATTTGTGGCTATTGCCTGTTGTTGGACTGTCTGATACCACTTCTCTGTCCTCTTTGTAATTGTCCTCCAAGGAGATGTAGTTGCTGGTAGGTCGATCCTTCAGCCCTCTCTTCATCTGCCAAAGCCAGCTCAGATGCCACCACATCTGGTTATAGTCACAGAATCACAGAACAGAATGTGCTGAACTGGAAGGGACCCACAAGGATCATCCAGTCCAACTCTTGGCCCTGCACAGGCCCAGCCCCAAGAGTCCCACCCTGTGCCCCAGAGGATCATCCAAACCCTCCTGGAGCTCTGGCAGCCTTGGGGCTGTGCCCACTGCCCTGGGGAGCCTGTTCAGTGCCAACCACCCTCTGGGGGAAGAACCTTTCCCTGAGATCCACCCTGAGCCTGCCCTGACACAGCTCCAGCCATTCCCTGGGGGCTGTCCCTGGTCCCCCCAGAGCAGAGCTCAGTCCTGCCCCTCCTCTACCCCTGCCCAGGCAGCTGGAACTGCAGGGAGGTCTCCCCTCAGTCTCCTCCTCTCCAGCTGAACACCCCAAGTGCCCTCAGTGTCCTCACAGGGCTTCAAATCAAGGCCCTTCCCCATCTTTGTTGCCTCCTTTGGACATTCTCTAAAGGTTGCAATCACAAAATCATATCCTAGAGCCCAGAAAGGTGAGGTGTGTCAGGTGTGTCATGGCAGTGGAGGCACCTACACAGGAAATCCACCCCAGTACAAGACCCCTGGGCAGTACCAGGCAGGACAGGAGGCATTTGCATAGCTTTTATTGCTGTTGCTACAGCCCAGGTTAAACACTTGAACATATGAGGTTGTACAGACTATGGAATGTCATCACCTACAGAGGACAGAGGAAGCCAATCCAGCAGTGGCCCTGTAAGGCAAGGTTTCCGTGGTTCCATGTGTTGATCAGAGAAGTGGAATTGTCTGAGAAAAGCCAGAGAACTGAGTTTGTGCATCATGGATTTCTGTGGGCTTTCAGTGACGGCCTCTCTGCTCCAAACTGAGGCTGATGAGCAGCACACAGAGTGAGGACACTGAGGCAACCAGAGAGAGGCTGGTGGGACTCTTGGCACTTGTGCCTGCCACTGTTCCCACCACAGGGATGTGCTGTTGGCCATTAACGACGTGGAATCGTTGATTCACCAGGGTTGGAAAAGACCTCCAAGGTCACTGAGTCCAACCACCCACCCAGCACTGTCACGTTCACCACCAAAACACGTCCCCAAGTGCCACACCCACACGTTCACTGAACACCTCCAGGGGTGGGGAATCCACCACTGCAGGTGCTCCTGTCCTCAGTGCAGAGCTGCCCAGGATGATGTCCTTTCCCTCAGCATCTTCACTCACACCTGGGGACATTTGCAGACAGACACCCAGCCCAAAACACCCAGAAAGATTCCCACGCATTCCTGCGGTCAAACACCACAGTCACACCCTTTCCTGTCCAGCTGGAATGTCCCAGATTATGTCCATGTGGTCCTGCCCACAAAAGTGAGCTTCTATTTCTCCCCTGAAGTTCTACAACATCCTTGGTGTGACCACCACTTCTGCAGAAATCCATGGAGCCAAGACCACGTTGTTCTCTGCTCTTTTCACAGTTTCCTCCTTGTGACCTGGAGGAAAAAAAAAGAATCCCAGGGATCCCAAGCAGGGCCTGGGGTCAGGTTGGTGCCGTATTTTAGCACATCAGGCTTTTGGCAAACCCAGGTAAGGGATCTTGCTCTTGGTAGATGGGCTCCTGAAAAGCCCTGGAAACAAAACCCTTGGACTGAAGAAGAGATATTTTCTGAGAGACACAGGGCATTTCCAGCCCTTTGATGATACCAGTCGATAACTACAGTGGTCATCAAACAGACAATGGAAGCGTGGACACTTCAGTGCTCAGCTTTGTTTTTATGGCATCCAAACACAATCCCCCCAGCACATTCCCACCTCTTTTTTATGCATCCCAGCTGGCCTTTTGTGCATTTTTCGGGGGTTGCCAGCCGTTAAAAGTCACATCAGAAGTGGGAAGTCATTTTAGAAGCATTTGTTTGGCAAAAGAGCCCTTTGCCACCACCTCTCCCTTTTAAATGGCTTCCCTGGAGCCACCCAGAGTCTGGTAAGACACAGATTTGGAGCCACCTCCCAGAGGAGGCGAGGGGAGCAGGGGGTGTTTCAGCTGTAGAACACGGGCTTGCGGAGCACCCGCACCACGTTGTACGTGTTCAACCCCGGAGCGTCAAAGCCAGGGGACAAACCCTTGCGGTCAAAGGGGTAAAAGTTAAAGAGCTGCCCGTTTTGGGTCTCCAGGGAGATGGAGGCAGAGCCCAGGTGCAGGACACACGGGAACTCCTTGTCGAAAACCACTTGGAAAACGCGATCCTCCAGGTGGTGGAGCTTGATCGTCCGGTACTTCTCGGGGATCAGCTCCTCCACGTGAGGCCCAAACTGCTGCATGGTCAGCACCCCACCAATGCCAACTTTGATCTCATAGAAAGTCAGGTTGGAATAGGTGTAGTAGCCAACATAAGGGACAGGGTTTGGGGGGGGGACCACGCTCTTCTCTGCCTCCCTGAAAGCCGTCTCCATGGCCGGCACGAGGTACTCGTACGTCTGAGTCACGACATCCCCGCCCTGAGGCCTGGGCCCTGCCATGAGCACGATGAAGCTCAGGCGGAGCTTGGGGATGAGAGAGAAGGTGGCTGAGTAGCCATCGAGGTCCCCATCCTTCCTGATGACGTCGTAGCCCAGCTGCTCGTTGATCTCCCAGGGCGTGCCGGTCTTGTTGGCGAAGTAGTCCCTGGAGCACTTGAGCAGCGGGGTCAGCATGGTCTTCACGGTGTCGGGCGCCAGGAGCCGGCGGTGGTAGGTGCCCAGGAACACCATGGCCAGCTTGGCCAGGTCTGCAGCCGTGGAGTACATCTGCCCAGAGGGTCTGTACCAGCCCAGGTCGTAGAGCGGGGCCGGCTGGCGGCTGCCGTAGAAGCCCACGGCCATCTGCGAGCGGATGGGCGGCGTGAGGTCGAACCCCGTGTCCTCCATGCCCAGGCGGTCCAGGACATGCTCCGACACCCAGCGCTGGTACTGCCCGTCGGCCCCGTGCTCGGCCAGCACGTGGGCCAGCAGGGAGAAGGCCAGGTTGCTGTAGTGGCACCTGAGAAGGAGGAGGAAGGTCTTGGGGTCAGCTTTAAACACAGTGCGGGTGGGACAGAACGGCGCCCGTGTCGGTTGTTTGGGGTGGATTCACATTTTAGGGGATGATGTGCTGAAGGGAGAGGAGAGGTGGAGGAGAGGCAGATACACTGTGGGTGTGGATGTGAAACAGATCTCTGTAGTTTAGGAAAGATTCACGTTTTATGGAATGACATGGAGGGAGAGGGATAGTGGGGGTGATGTCACAAAATAGTGATCGTGTCTCTTATGTAGGGGAAAATCCTCATTTTATGGAGTGGCATGGTAAAGGGAGGTGAAGGAGAGACAGGGATACAGCGTGGATGTGGACATGGATATGGATATGGATATGGATGTGGATGTGGATATGGATATGGATATGGATGTGGATATGGATGTGGATATGGATATGGATGTGGATGTGGATATGGATGTGGATATGGATGTGGATATGGATATGGATATGGATGTGGATGTGGATGTGGATGTGGATGTGGATATGGATGTGGATGTGGATATGGATATGGATATGGATATGGATGTGGATATGGATATGGATATGTGGATTGTGGATATGGATATGATAGATATGGATGTGGATGTGAGATGTGGATGTGGATATGGATATGATATGGATATGGATGTGATAGATGGATATGATATGGAATGATAGGATATGGATATGGATATGAATGATATCGATATGGATATGGATATGGATGTGGATATGGATGTGGATATGGATGTGGATATGGATATGGATGTGGATATGGATATGGATATGGATATGAAAAATCAGTGGCTATGACCCTTATTTAGGGGAAAAAGCAGATTTTATGGAATCACTTGATTAAAAGAGAGGAGCGATGAAGGAGAGACAGAGAAAGACTCTGTGTTGTTGCCTTGTTGTTCAGTCAAGACAGAGAAATATTTCACAGCAACATCAGCAGAGTTATTGAGCTCTGGTGGACAGAAAGATCTGGGGATGAAACAGAAACACCCCAATAAATTTGCATAACCTGACTTACTGCTTATAACAGTTCACAAAGAACACATCCATTGTTTTTAGAGCAAACAGAGTTCCAGGTGTTCCCTCAGAGGTCTCAAAATCCCAGGTAAGCCTCTTTGGGGATTGACTCTGGTATAATCACTTAAACACCTAAGCTACCTTAAGATGATAAAGGCACTTAAAGGGCACTTAAAAGCCCACAAAGCAGCAACCAGCACAGTGAAGTCATTAGAGAAGTGCTTCAGTCTTTAATATCCATCAAGTGATTTAAGCCTTTACACTTGAATGAAGTTTAATGGCGTGAAGACATGAATGAATAAGTTTTTTAAAAACATTTTCAAAATTCATTGTATTTGCAGCTTGGTTGTTTATTTGGGTTTTGGTTTTTTTGGGTTTTTTTCAATTCTGTGAAGCCACACATCTCACTGAGGCCTATTTAGGTCATAAATTTGGTACCACTTCAACCTTTTCGAGCCCATCTGGTTGAATAAAAGTGTGGTGAGCGTATATATTTATTACCCTAAGAATAAACACATTCTGGGTCTAAAATTTTATGTCTGAAATGGAGTTGAACTTCAACATAGAAAAATATATTAAAATGTCTGTGTCAATAAGTGGGAACTTCTTTGGGAAGTATGTCCAGGAACAGGGAGAGAGTTAAAACTATCAACATTAAGTTGATATTTATTAAGTTATTAAGATGTTATGAGACTGTGAGTTGATGTCCCTGTGTATCTACACGGGGAGCACAATATAAAGATATCAACAGAGATAATACCAATAAAGATATAAAAATATCAAAGAAAACTATGTTATTAAAGTGTTAAAATCCTTGAAGGAATATCTATTGTAACCTCCTACATGATATGGGAAAGAATTAACAGAAGTGAAGGAACCTCTGAGCTTTCCTCCTTCATGGCCACGGCAGATCCTCAGCCACCCTGGGTAAATTATTTCAGGATGCAATTCTGTTCCCTGACCATTTTGCAGACTTGGAAAAACTTTCCCAAGTTGGTTACACTCCTTTCCCTCACCTGATGTCCACTGGATCCTTTTTTTAAAGGAAGTTTAAAGTTTAAGGAAGTGTGGGAGTGTCCAAGGCCAGGTTGGATGGGGTTTGGAGTAACCTGGTCTAGTGGAAGAGGGGTGGAACAAGTTAATCTTTAAGGTCTTTTCCAACCCAAACCATTCTGGGATTCTATAATTCCATGATGGTTTTGAATGTTTGCAACTCAGGTAATGGACTTTTAACAGGCCATAGAAATTATAAAAAGCGTTCACAGACTTTATAGATAATTTAGAGACATACAAGTGACTACAGACATGATTTTAACTGAAATCTGTGACTGTTTAAACTGTTAAAACTGTTTAAACTAACATTTCCACTAGAGAAAACCTGCATTTAAGGTTTATTGGACCCAACTGTGGCAGTTTAACTTGCCTCATCTAGACCTGACAAATAAAAAATAGAATTACAGAATATTCTGAGTTGGAAGGGACCCACAAAGATCATCAGGTCAGCTCCAGCCTCAGACAAGTGCGTGGGGAGGTGGCTGAAGCTCCCTTTGGGAATGTTTATCCACTGGCCATGGAGGTTGCAGGTGGGGCTAAGAATGAAAAGCACTCTCCTAAAAGCTCCTAAAATTAATCCATATGACCTGCTAAAGAGAGGAGAGACAGTGTGGGTATGGATATGGGTATGATAAATGTCTCTTACTTAGGGGAAAATTCACATTTGATGGAATGACATCGTAAAGAGAGGGGAAGGATGAAGGAGAGACAGGGACACAGCGTGAATATGGATGTGGAGATGACCCAAAAGCTCGGAAATGAATCCATCTGACCTGGTTCCTGGATCAGCCACCAGCACATCATCCTTCAGGAGAGCCAGGGCGTCCTGCGTGCTGCCCTTCCACAGCAGGCTGGTGGATCTGAGCCTCCTGGGCAGACCTGTGCCAGGGAAAAGGGGTTAATTCCAGGGAAAGCATGGAAATGATGAGTCTGGTGAAGAGGGAACAGAAAACCAAGAGTCAGTGGCAAAGTGGAAGCGACAATGATGGACACAAAAGGACCTGTTCACACCACACTGCAGGACCCTCAAACCTGGGGGGTGTGAGTCCTACCCAGCATGAACTCGGAGTGCCACATCTCAGTGAAAACACCTCCAGGAATGATCCAAAAGCTCCTGTATCCCCAGGTGTGTTTTGGCTTGGTGGGTGTTGGGGAAATCCCTGCCAATATTGCCGTGGGACTCTGCTCCCCTGACTACAAAGGTGTGCAACAGCCATTTTTTACCAGGATTTCATTCTTTACTCCTCACTTTTGAGGGTTTGAACTTCTCTGAATGGCTCCAGGCTTGGCCTAAAGTATTTTTGTCTTCCCCCCTGCCCATCTTTAGCAACATTTATTAAAGGGTTCTGAATGTAGGAAAAAACAAACTTATTTTCACCGGGGAAAATGCTGGTTTTTTAACTTTTAGTTCCATACTGAGCATGGATTCCCTAAAATCTTTTGACCAGTAGTTTTTAAATTGCCCCAGTTCCTCTGAACAGGATCTGTGGCTCACCAAGTCCAGAACTTGGATTACACCTTGAGTGGAGTCCTTGTGGCTGCTTTCTGCTCACTTTGATGTAGAAGTGGGGAGGAAACTGGGAAGTGTTTGTGACAGAAAAGCAGCTTGTAATAGTCTGCTCAGTGACCATGGGCTTAATCACAGAACTATGGAATTGTTAGTGTTGAAAAAGCCCTCTGAGATGGAGCCCAGCCATCAGGCCCAGCACCAACCACCATCATGTCCACCACCAAACCACGTCCCCAGTGCCCCATCCACACGTGGTTCAAACACTTCCAGGGATGGGGACTCTTCCAATGCTTTTCAAACTTCCCTGTGAAAATCCTTCTCCTAAAACCCAGTCTAAGCCTTCCTTGGTGCAACATGAGGGTTTTTCCTCTCCTCCTGAATCCTGGTAAAGCTGAAGGAGGCCCCACTTTTTTTTGGAGCAGCGACTCTTGTTCTTCTCAGTTGGCCTGACCTTGGGATTCGAGCTGCAATGAGAGCACTGTTCGTGCTCCTGCTCTGTGGTTGTTTGTGCAGCTGAGTGACCAGGTAAGTGATGCATTTACCAGGACACAATGGGCTCCTTCATTTCCTCCTTGCTGCAAAGACAATGTTGGACCATGGGAGGGTTCCCCAGAGCCCTGACAGCAGTGCAGTGTCTCTCCTGAGGTTCATTAAGAATGATAAACCAGAGGATGTGTGAGCATAATTACAACCCATAGTCACGGATTTATAGCTCATGGGCTGCTAATTGATGTGACAAGCACACTGTTAATAATTTACAACCTCATCCCATCCTGTCATTGAGATGTGTTTGAAAATCCTGGGCTTAACAAGCTGGAGCTCCCAACCAGAAATGTGCTGAGTGCTGAGGAGAAAGACCTTTGGAGTTCCTTTTGTAATATTCAGTGGAGAAGAGCCCAGATAATGAGAATCTATTAGGGATCACTTTCCACTGGAAGAATTCAGATGAAAACCACTTTACAATTCAGATGAAAACCACTTTACAATGTGTCATGCAGGGGCTTTGATCCTGGTGCCAAGCAAAACCTACTCCTTTTTTTGGGGGGGTTTTGACAGACAGCAAATGTAATGTGGGACCTCGACATTCAATTCATTTGCAGCTGGGATTTTGAAACTCTGCTTTTGCTTCTAGTAAATTGTCAGGGTCTGAGGTGGTTGTTGTGTCCTGCTGATGTGGGCTGAGAAATTTGGGCCAAATTCTAAAAACAACAAAAAAAAAAAAAGGCAATGGAGGGGCTGCACAGAACAAGAGACCAGGGGCACTTTTGACTTGTTCTTCTCCCAGCATTTCTGGGGTGCACTTCACACCTCACTGGGTGACAGGAGCCCTAATTTTAGGGCATTTATTCCAACCTGCAGTAATGCAGAGGCTAAAGAGATTTACCAAAGTGCCACACAAGATAACCAGCACAGTCTCTTTGACCATTTTAAATTGTGGAATCTCTCAGTTGAGTATTAGCAGCTTTATTTCCGAGAAAGGTTAAAATTCTGAGTCCTGTGAGCTCCTTCTACCTTAATGTAACAGTTACCCAGTTCTGAAGTAGCAGCACATTCATTCTCCTCTGCCAACCAGTGCAGAGCCATGAATAGCTCAGGAATCCCGGATCAGGAGCCACGCTGGCAGCTAAATTTAGCTCATCAATCAAGGTCTTTCTATTCAAAGCAAAGAGGTTTGGTGCCTCTTTGACCCCCAACTCCACATCTCAGAAAAACCAGAGTGCTCTGGGCTGGAGCACAAGGCACTGTTATGCAATAAGAGTTTCAAGATATTTCAGGAATAAGATGGTGGGATGCACCAGGAAAAAAAAATTGGGGGTGTTGGGATATTTGGTGAATAAAATACTAGGATGTGGTGGGAACAGAATGATGGGATAAAATATGGCAGGAATAAAATATTGGGATATGTGACATGTAAAACCTTGGGATGGGATGGGATTTAATGTTGGGAACATGCTGTGAATAAAGAATTGGGATATGTGGGGAATAGAATATTGGGAGTGAAATGCTGGTGTGTGTGTTGAATCCAACCCTGTGGTACCAAATTGTGAGGAATCTGAATCACTTTCCAGGGGAAAAACAACCCCCCAGCCCACGGGGCAGCTTGGTCCCTTTCCTGGCAGGTGACCTGGGCAAGAGTTTCCTTTTAGCACTCCAGGAAGCCGCTCCCAGGAGTCCTTCTGACCTCTGGGAAGGGCACAGGAGCAGGGTCCACGCTGGGAAAGAGCCTCTCAGGAGCCTTTTTGCACCCCTGGAACTTGGGCTGTGGTGTCTGTGGGCTCTGAGGTGGCCCAGAGCAGGGCTGGCTCACCTGAGAGCTGGCTGGCCATCCTGCGCAGGGTGACGGGCGACGGCTTCAGTGGGGTCGAGCCCTTCTCCAAAAACACCAGCCCATCTGCTGTGTATCTCTGCTCTGAGTCCTTCAGCCTGCCCAGGGGGTTCTTGATGACGAAGTTCTGGGCGTAACGCTCCAAGGGGTCGTCCAGGGAGGTGACCTTGCCTTCCTCCCACATCTTGTACAGCATGATGGTGGGGAAGATCTTGGAGACGCTGGCGATTCTGCGAGGGGACAAACAGGTAGGGAAATTAAACTTTAGGAAGCTCATGAATGAAGAGGAAAGATGGTCAGTACGTGGGATCACCGTAGCTTTCACAGCACCTTGACAGAGGTCAAGGCAAACTTTCCAAAAATGTTTATTCCAAGGACAAAATCTGACAGTCAGAGTGCAGCCCATGTGTTTCATGCATGATCCTTCAGGGCACACGGTGTGACTCCTGGGGATGAGCATGTGCAGGGCTGAGGGCTGGGCTGGATGATCCTTTTGGGTCCCTTACAACTTAGCATATTCTGTGATTCTGTGACACCTTTGCCCGTTCTAAAGGGAAGGGTTAAAATGCAGGTAAGAAGCTTGAATTGATATCCTTAAATCTTAACCCTTACTGATGGACAGCCTCTGTCTGTGCCCAGTAGTGCAGTGGCTGCAGATCTTTTCCTAGTCACTTAGTGTTCATAAAATTACCTATTTTGTAAATGATTGGTTAGTAAATACTGATCTCTGCTCTGTGAGGACCAGGGACAGGCCAGGGAATGGCCTGGAGTTGTGTCAGGGCAGGGTTAGGTTCTCACGAAAAGGATTTCAGGAAAAGGTTCTTCTCCCAGAGGGTGGTTGGCACTGAACAGGCTCCCCAGGGCAGTGGGCACAGCCCCAAGGCTGCCAGAGCTGCAGGAGGGTTTGGATGATCCTCTGGGGCACAGGGGGTGACTCCTGGGAATGGTCCTGTGCAGGGCTGAGGGTTGGACTGGATGCTCCTCGTGGGTCCCTCCCAGCTCAGCACATTCCGCGATTTTGCGACAAAAACTTGCTGGCAGTTCGTTGGAATTTTATGATTAAAATCACGGAATTACAGATCCCTTTAGGGTGGGAAAGCCCTCTATGATCATTAAGCCTCACCATTTACCCAGGGCCACCCCTAAACCTTGTCCCCAAGTGGGAGATCTGCACGTTTGGAGCTGCCTCCATCCCGTCCCCGTGGCGCAAGCGGGCAGCGCGTTCGGCTGTTAACCGAGAGGCTGGTGGTTCGAACCCACCCGGGGACGTGGAAGTGATTCCAGGGCATGATTCCAGGGGCTGGAACTACACCTTTAATGTTCCTTCCAACTCAAACCATCTAATGGTTCTGGGAGGAAAAAGGGCAGGAGGTCATTTTAACCGTTATTACAGACGGGGAAGGAACGGGTGATTGGAAACTTTCCAAAAATGTTTATTCCAAGGACAAAACTTGACAGTCAGAGTGCAGCCCATGTGTTTTATGGATAAGAGAGGTAGAATTCACTGAAAATACATCTTGAAAGGAAAATATTTTTTTTGTTGTTGTTTTTTTAGCACATATTAAGAGCTGGATTCTATATTCACCTAAAGAAATAACATACACTTATTCATCCTCCCAGTGTCATACTGGCTAAGTCTATTTTATGTATGGTAGAAACTCTCCCCAACCCCCAAATTTTTCCTAGGCTGATATATTATTATTATTATTATTATTATTGCTTTAATTAATATTTTAACCCTCTGGCCCTGTCTTCTCTCTGTTCTCTTTTTTCAGTAACTGTGCCAGTTCTCAGCCTTCAGATTTGTGCACTAGACCTCCTCAAAATATGGAGCCACTCCCATGAAGGTTCTTCAGAATGGTCATTTAAAACATTATCAGATCAAATTAAGAAAAAAATCAATAAATTCATCCTAAGCAACTCATTAAACCACCAGCAAGTGATAATTTGGGGATTTGACTGAAGCATCGTCTCATAAAGTCTCAAGAGATGTTCCTGAAGGGAACATGACTGTGGCTCTATTCCCAGGGATCAGATCTCCATGTGTGGATGTGCCCTTTCCTGGCTCCCTGCCTGTGCCAGGGGTACATTTTCCTGCCTTTTCCTGGTTCTCTGCCTGTGCCAGGGCTCTCACCTGTAAATGGTGTATTCGTTGGGCACGGCCGAGGAGGGGTCAGAGATGTTCTTCTTCCCAAAGTTTCCTGTCCAGAGCACTGTGTCATTGTAGATGACGATGGCAGACATGGCTGGGAGCCCTGAGCTGTGCATCTTCTGCCTCAGCATCAAATCCACCTGGAGAACAAGGGGAGACCAGGAATTCCCAAATGAAAACTCTTATAGTGCATCCAGCCTGTATCAGACCACCAGCCCTCCTCACTCCTGAGCACTCCAGAGGGGTTCTGTGAAATGTGTTTTGTCACAAGAAAATATTTTAATTGTTCAACAGTTTCTTAGAATTGCTTATGTTGAATTATCCAGTGTCTTCCTTTTGGTCTACATGTCGAAGAGCCTGTTGCTCATCCTTGTAATATTTAAGATTAAAACCAAAAACCAACGTGTAATAACTGTAAATTCTTCCCTTTTAAATTGTACCCTGCACATCTGTACTCTGCATTAGTTATTTTAGGGTCACAGATGTGCAAGAAGAAGACTTTTCAAATATCCCATGGGACTTTTCACTCCACGAATCACCAGACCTTCCAGTGGACAACTGATCATGTTTCTCCATCAGAGCTTTCCTCTGGGTAAGAGAACTGCTCGAGGACCTGTCCTGAATGTTCACTGGAGGAGTTTCATATCACCCATTTCCAGGTTCACCTGTTCTCCTTGATTCCACACCTCCTTCCCAGAGATGCTCAGAGGCAAATGACACATTCCCCCCTGCTCTACCCCTGCAGGAGAGCAGCCACGAGGCTCCCTCTGTTCCCTTCTCCCCACAGACCTTCTCCAGGGCATCCTTCAGGATGGGGATGGGGTGGTCCAGGGGTACCGGCTCAGGGTAGCGGGGACACATCTGCACAGACTCTGATCTCACTTCCATCACAGAAGGGCCTGGAAAACATGGCAGAGGGAGCACAGGTGACTCCAACAGACACACTGACAAGGTTTAATCTCACTGCAAAAAAGTGGGGAGAAAGGGTTTTATCAATGTCCCGAATTTCTGTGCCAAACTATGGGCGAGGTTCAAGTCGAGTTACTCACTGGGCTCCACCTTGGGGAGGCTGTACTGCCACAGGAAGCAGCCTGTCATTGCCACAGACAGCAGGAAGAGGAAGACAACCAAGACATGGATCCACTTCACCTCCATAGCAGTGAGTTTGAGGAAGCTCCGGCTGCTGGGAGCCTTCTGCAAGCAGAAAAGGAGTCAGAGAGAGAGAAAAAACCACCTCTCCTGCATTACAGCTGGTGGGAGAGGCCCAGTGCACCAGAGATCAAAGCTGCTGAAGGGACGTGGGTTGATTTGAGCCCCCTGGTCCAGTGGAAGAGCAGAATGAGATGGGTTTTGAGGTCCTTTCCAACCCAAACCAGTCTGGGATTCTGGGAGAATTTCAGCACCAGAGCTGGGCATACCAGCCCATGTTGGGACAACTGGAACCAGAGATGACTTCTTGCCTTTCAGTGAAGTTGGCAAGCCTTACCTTGTGGGTTCTTGTAGAAGAACACAACTACTCCTTCTGCCTTCCCCCTCCCTGCAGGTGAACACCCATCAGACAGGATTCTCAGATACAGCTCTCAGTCCCTCCCTTCTCAACCATCAGCACTTATTCCTGGATATCTTTCCAGCCCCCTTTTTCTTTTCCCCAGAGTCAGCATCTGTTCATGGCACCCACCAGCCAGATCATCTGAGTGGATCCAGGTTTTCCAGATGAACGACGGAATTTTTTCACCGTTTGCTGCCCTCACCCTTCCATGTTGGGCCTGTAAATCCCGTCCTATCACGTACCATCTGCAGGCTTGGCGTTTACAGATGCCATGTTTTGGGGAAACTGGCTGATATTTTGAGTGTGTGCAGCTCTCACAACACTGGAGACCATCCAGGTTGGGGAGAGAACCAGATCAACGCTGAAGAAAAACAAGGAACAGATGACAAACGAGGAGGTGCCTGAGCCTGGGCTGTGCTCCTTCCCTGCCTGCAGGAGGTCAGGAGGGTGCTTTTGAAAGTTTGGCAATTAATGTTACAAAACATATGGGCTGCCATTTGCCTCCAATATGGTCCACATTCCAAAGCTGTTTCAGGTTGTCTGGACTCACTCGTGGGATAGACAGATTGAAATATTCATATTCCCTTTAGATTTCCACATGGCCCTATTCTTTTCCTTTTTTTTTTTTTTTTGAGATGCAGGAGGGTTCAGGCAAAAGCTTCTCCAAATCAGCTGAGCCTTGTCAGTCCCAACCAGGGAATTCCAGACTCCCCCAAGGCTCTGTGGCTCAGGAAGGATCCAGCTGTGTTTTCCAGCCCCTGATGAAACTCTAGGTTGCACTTCCTGCGCGATAACAGGAACACATCACAGTTCTTCCTGAAGCTTTTCAGCCTGTTCAGACACTCCCATGGGAATTTCTGAAGGCAGGTTCTTCCATAACACGATTAAAACTTCAAGGGTGGCTTAAGATCATGCAGGTACCTGCAACCTCCCCCAACCTGAGCCTGCCAGAGCACACGAGGTCCATGTCCCACCCTGGGATGTGTTTCTGAACAGGGCAATGCCATTTTAGCACCAAAGCCATTTTTGTTTGGATGTCCTAACCTCCTGAATTCCTTAGTAGGTAGGAGATCACACTGCTCCAGGAGGAGCCTGTGTGTTGAGATCTCTTTAATCCCCCACCCTGGCAGGGTTCAAGGATGTCACCTAGAGCTGTTTTCCTGCAGCAAGGAGTGGCACAGGGCCCTCTTTGCCCAGCAGTGGTCATGGGATGGCTTTTTTTGGCTTCAGTCCCATCACAATAATGTGATTCCCCCGCCTATTTTCTCTGTTCTTCTGCCTCTTCCCTTGTGTCACTGAGAAACCCTGATTTCTGAGTCCCTCAGAGTGAAAGGAAATGCATTTTCTGGTGTATTCCTCATCTCATAGATTCCAGACTCCTTGGATCACTAACTGAGGACCCAGAGATACCAACACTGAGCTCATCCTTTAGTCCAAACATCCTTCAGTCCAACCTCCCCTTCACCTCTTTCAGGTCATGAGTGCCCTGAATGTTTTTTTCATTTTTTGCCCTATAATTTAGTGGGAATGCAAAGAAACCCTGAAGGTGCCATGGACTAGAGACATGGATCTCTCCTTTATTGATGGAACACCCAAAAGTGTGAGAAACATTCATCCCCCCCCCTCAGGAGATGCTCCACCCTCCAAACCACCTTTCAGGAAAAAACCCCACTGTTTCCCCGCACCTGGAAGAGTTTGAGGGAAGCAGATGGATAAATCCCTACAAACAGACTCCTCACAGCTCCCACTCCGGGGCCTGTCTGGTCCCACCTCCCTCTCGGCTGGTTTTGTGTTGCTCAGTGACCGTCTCTGCTCGCACGCAGCCACAGCCGGGCAGAGGGGGGGGCGAGGGGGGGGCTTCCGAGCACTTAAACGCATGCAAATAAATGCAAATACATGCAGAACAAGCTCACACGGCTCCCCAGGGGGTAGGTTGGCAGCATGATACATTTTTTTTTTCCCTCCTGAGCTTTGAAAAATTAGGACGGGGAGGGGGAAGTATTTGGGATTCCTACGGGCCACCCAGGTGCACGGTCCACCCACTGCGGACCAGTCGGTCCACGAATATCCCAACGCTGGTCAGGGAGATGCAGAAGACCCCCAGCCCCCCTCACATACCAGCAGCAGGAGTGTCTTAATCCCAAAGGCTGTTGTTGTCCCACGTCCAGGGGTGTGAGGAACAAAACGAGCCCACTCCGCCCCGGGCAGGGGGGAGCGCGGGGTGCCACCATCCTCTAAATTCACCCGCGGGTCACTGGAGGTGCTGCTCGGTCACGGCGGCCGGGTTTAGCTTCCCCAAAAATCCCTCTCCGGGTCTCCCCGTCCATTGGAGCCATGGGAGCCCTCCCGAGGATGCTGCTGAGCTCCCCCGGGCAGGGGGATTAAGGGATGGGGACGGGGGGGACGGACACAGGATGGCGTTTGCACTCAGGAAAGTGCCCGAGGGATTGGATGTTAATTCTCCCTAATGCTTCTGTGCCATGTGTGTGAATCACGGCTGCAACCAGGAGGGCTTCGCCGTCTATTTATAGCGCTTTCATCTCCTCCTGACATCGGAACATGAGGCGATTAAGCAGGAGAGGGACAGTCCCTAAGAAGCTCCCGGGCCGGACAGGGCAGGTTGGGCTGCTCGGGAAAGGAGGGGAGGTGGGGAGATAAACCAGGAGTTCAGGCACTCTCTGGGCTTAATCCTGAGCAGCCTCCTGGAGCTCCCCGGCAGTGACACACAAGGGAGTCATTCCCAGCTCACCGGACACAACCGGGATTTCTTTCCCTTCGGATCTGGAGGATGGTGGGGGGTTATGGTCTGCACGAGGGGAGCCTTACCCGCAGCGGTAACCCCTCCATGGCCGCTCAGGACTCTCTTCTCATCCCCCGTTCTGCCTGTCTGCACAAACAGCAGGCTCATAAACCCCTGTGATGAGGAGAAACCAACAGTTAGTGCAGGAAAAAAGTGGAGTCAGAGCGAGGGAATTCCAGGGTAACCAAGCCCAGCTCGGGTAAACAGAACAGCAGGGAGGGGCTGGTTTTGGATAGGTGATTTTCCAGCCCAAATCATAGTAACCATACGAGGTGAGTCCTCATTAACACCTTCCCTTTCTCTGCCTCTGGTTTGGTATTTACCCCCGAAGAACCACTTGACTCCTTGGGTGATTTAAGAGCCATTCCCAGCTCTCCAAGGGCCCAGCTTCAGAAATGGTCCCTTTCTTCCCCCTTCAAAGAACCACTTGACTCCTGGACTCCCCTGGGGCCATTCCCATCTCCCTGAGGGCACTGCCCAGTCCCCTGGCAGGAGGTGTCCCCTGTCAGGCTGGGCAGTACGATGTGGCACAGATTTCTCACTTCCCAGGGCCATCCTCACCCCATCTCCAAACACAAGGAACCAGAGTCACTGTGCCTGCTCCACAGGGTCCTTCCAGCCCCCTCCAAGTCTTCACCACCTTGCTCCCTCCACACAGCCAACAACACCCCCCTTACACCTGGGACTCACAGACACCTGTGTGACAGCTTTGGAAGTGCCAAGATAACGGCACAACCACCACCTTTCCCATAAAACCTCCCTCATCTTGCTACCTGGCAGAGGCAATTCAATCATCAACCCCCCTCCTAAAAAAGAGCTCTTACCAGCCTTGCTGCTCCCTTCTGGCTTCCAGCTGATGAATTTGGGGCTGTCCTGCAGCTGCAGATTTTGAGAGCAGCTGAAGCACTAATCCAGCAGCCTCTCTGAGCACAGATTAATCGGCCAGGCCTCACCCCTCTGCAGCATCTGGCCAGGGATGCAGCCAAAGGAAGGATTGTTGGTGATTTCCTGGCTTCAGCAGCGCAGCAGAGTGGAAAATGGGGAGCTAGGGGGCTGAGGGAGGGGTGTCCATACCACCCCATGAGCTGAAAATGTTAACCATGGGCTGCCACAGCATGGGAGGTACATTATAAACATTCACCAAAGAGAAGGGCATGGCCATGCCCTCACTTATGCCCCAAATCCAGGGGCAATATGTACCTCAATGCCATCCTATTACCTTCTTCAGCCCTTCATTTCAGTATCTCCAGGAGTTGCCCAGAACCTGAGAGTGCCCCAAATACTCTGGTGCAGCCTGTGCCCCTGAACTGTGCCCAAATTTTGGTGAGTGGGGCTGCAGACGACCTCCTCACTGACTAGAACAGATCAAGCTCCTCGTAGGTTTGTTGCTCCTCATTTCTGGGAACTTCCATTTCACTTCCAGCGTTCTCTGTGGTGATCCTGTGCCCAGTTATCCCAAAATACCAATAATCCATTTGTCCTGGGAACACAGTCTTTAGCTGAGGTGGTGGAAAGTGAGTCTGTGCTGGTCAAAGGTCCCTCAAAGGTTGCCAGAGGAGCTGTGGCTGCCCCTGGATCCCTGGAAGTGTCCAAGGCCAGGTTGGTGTAAACTGGGATAGTGGAAGGTGTCCCTGCCCATGGCAGAGGGTGGGATGAGATGGGCTTCAGGTAACCTTCCAATCCCAACCATTCCATGATTCTCTGTTTCTGTGATCCAGCACCTCAGGGAAGGCGAACTGTGTGGGGTGGGATTCACAGGAGCCACATGGTGAGTGTGGGGGTGGCACAACCTGCCAGTAATTGGCACAAAACCACCTGAAATTCACGTTTGCCTGGATTTTAAGGGCCTTAAGGTCCCCCAGACTGGGGGTCCAACAGTGGCTTCCCTCAGCCCATGGAGTGACAGTGAAACCTCCACCACCCCACATCAGTGCTGGCCACAGCTGGCCCCAACTTTGGCTCCTTTTCCTCTTCCCTCCATGCCTCAGGAGCCTTCAGGGAGCTGGGTTTTCCCTGAGCTGTTTCCAAGCTCTCTCATTAACTGCTTGCCAGCAGCCAGCGCTCCCATAATGGGCATCTCCTCTGGAAATTGCAGCCCCATGGCAACAAGGAGTTTAATGGCCATTATTCCTAAATGAAGGACACTGGTCTAGTAATCCACCTCCTGCCTCTTGCAAAGGCCCTTGGAAATGATGATTTCCCATTGCAGGTAAGGCAGGAAAATACACACAGACACAAGTCTGTTAAAAACCACACCAGCATGGCCTTGTGGTTCAGTGTTTAATATTTCAAAATACTGGTTTATGGTTGTTTGGTTTGTTTGTTGTTATTTTTTTCATTGACTAAGTGAAGATAAAGGAATCCTTTAGGCTTTTTGAGAATTGAAAGGTGCAGATCTTTCTTACAAATAAAGATGGGAAACCTGATTTTAATGATAGGGCTCATTTCACCTGGTTTCCAGCAGAGATTTTTGGTATCTTGTGCCTGTAGTTGTTCATTTTCAAGTTGAAGACATTTTCCTGGGTATCCCAATAAAAAACCATGGAATCCTGGGGTGATTTGGGTTGGCAGGGACCTTAAAGACCATTTCATTTCATTTCATCCCTACCATGGGCAGGGAAACCTTCCACTAGCACAGGTTGCTCCAACCTGGCCTTGGACGCTTCCAGGGATGGGGCAGCCACAGCTTCTCTGGGCACCCTGTGCCCATCTCTGCTGTCCTTTCTCTGCCCACCCAGTCTGTCCTTTCTCCAGGCCCTCAACCCTCTCTCCTCCCTGTGCTCCAGCTCCAACCATCTCAGTGATCCTCCTCTGGATCCATCAGGGTTCACCAACACCCCCAAGCACCCCAAACTCTGCCACCAGAGCACCCATCTCTTCCTGGGCACCTCAAAGTGCCACGAGAGCACCCATCCCTCCCCAGGGACCCCAAACTCTGCCATGAACACACTCACCCCTCCCCAGGCTCACTAAACTGTGCACCCCCAGCCCAGAGCCTGAACGGGGTAAAGGAGGATGATGCCCTGAGCAGCACCAGCAGCCCCAGAAGCACCACCAGCAACACTTGCCTGCTTGCAGTGCCCAGACTGGCAGGTGTGGGTGCCCTGCTGCCCAAGGGGGTGCCCCAGGAAGCCCCCCCTGCAGCCTGGCCCTGCCTGCTGCGGGCTGAGGCAGCAGCGACCTGCTCTGCCCTGCCTTGGGGTACTTAAAATAGGTCAGCAGCAGGTGCCTGGCTGAAATTACCCTTCATTTTCTTGTGAGGGAGCTGCAGAGAGGTCCTTCCCCGTGGATAACAGCGGGATTGCTGGGGACAATGGAATGGTTTGAAATCCAGCAGTTTTTATTAACTCCTCGTGCTCTGTGTGCCTCTGCCGGCTCAGCCTTGCCTTGGAGTGTCACCAGCTGGGTCAGGGGGATGTCACTGCTCCTAAATGGGCACAGAGACATGTCCCAGACAGCCCTGGGCACCACAGGGGTACAAACACATCACTGGGGGGGGTCACTGTGACACACAGAGCCCCTTTCTGTGCCCTCCAATCCCTTCAGAATGGGGGGGTCTGGAACAGCAAAGAGCCAGTTTGGCCCTGGCACCAAAATCTCTCCATTTGTGGAGGTAAACGGGGAACAGAACACAGAGAACAGCACACAAACAGAACATAGATCTTCATGGGACACCGGGTGCAAGTGGACTTGGATTGTGTCAGAGAGGGAAGGGCACGACTTGAACATCAGGGTGTGGACACAGCAGGACACCAAGGGATGGGGTAGGGATGGAGTGGTGACAAAATGAGCTCTGATGATGTGTGAACCCGAGGGCAGGAATGTCTCAGTGGGAGAAAAGAGCAGGTTGAGGGCTGGGAATGAGCCCAGGGCTGGAGCAGCATGTGGTGCCAGGGGTTCAGGGAGCTGCATGTGACAGAAGGACATTAAATCACAACAGTGGCAATGAAAGGGGACTGACTTGTCCTTATCCCCCAAGTTCTGTCGGTAAATCTACCTTCTCATTTACCCAGTGTCCAGCAGACCCTCGGGAGGAACAGGGCTGACACAAAGAAGCATTTTAATGTCTGTGGTTGAGGATAAACAAGATAAACAAGACCCACAGTGCAGGGCCCGTGTAGGGCAGCCCAGCTTGGACTGGCAGCAGGGGTAGGAGGTGACAGTGCCCCCAGCCCGGGTGACCCCAGTGCCAGAGCAGACCACGAGAACAGCAGTGCTGGGACAATCCACCACCTGGACACTCCAGATCCCAGCAGTTAACCCAGAAGGCAGAGGGGAAAGAGGATGGACAAGGACAGCTCACTCAGTCCAGCAGCTCCTGCCACTGGAAAGGGGGGGCATCCCCTCCTCTTGATCCTCTTCCCTCCTCTCCCAAGTCTTTCCTGTCCCCCCCCACTATCTCCCGTGCTTGTCAACCTTCCTGCAAAGGGGTTCAGCTCCCTCCAGCACCTCCGAGGTGTCCGCTGAGCACCTCCAGAGCGGTGGAAGGTAAGGCAAGACCTCCCCCTTGTGCTGAGCCGTCACATCACCGCAGATTTACAGCGGCAGCCTCGGACAGACGCTGCGGGTGGGAAACCAGCAAAGGAATGTCTTAGTAAAGGAATTAGCCTTGCAGATCCCACAGAAGAAAATTCCTTTTGCTTCAACAGGTAGGAAAAACTCACTCCAGGTCCTGTTGCAGCGCAGGGCAGACGCTGCCCCTCACCTGATGAGCTGTGCTTGGATTTTTCCTGCTTTGTTTTGGTTTTTTTTCCCCCATAGGATGTCCTTCAGGGTGGAAGAGACCATGGGAAGTGATTTGGTCCAAACTACTACTCAGCTGCTTTGAGGTCACACCAGGCTACTTATGGCCTTTTCCTCAAGAGGTCTTGGAAACCCCAAAGTCTTCTGGACAACGTGGTGGGATTCCTGAGGTTGTGCTGTCGGCCAGGAGTTGTACTCAAGGGTACTTGGGAGCAAGGAACGATGGTGACAAACAGAAGAGGTGAGTCCTGAAACACAGGGAATGCAAAACACGGGAAAAACCTGAGTGGGAGCCCTGCAAACACAGACACTTCAGAGAAGGGCTTGG